TGATTCAGCCGCTGCTGGTCAGTTTCAGCAGCGGCTGAATCTGGACGCCAGTTCCGACTTACATACAGATTCAACTTAAGAACAAACCTACAGTCCCTATCTTGTACGTAACCCGGGGACTGCCTGTAGTGAAGGTTTACAGCTGCTACTGTTATTGCTTCCTCAAAGCATCCAAGGATTTCCCTGGTATTGCTGTCCTTGGGCTCATACTACTTTTCACCAGTCCATTTGAGATTTGCACCTCTATTGTCAGAAGGATCTGACCCTTGTTCCTTGGACTCAGAGTAGGAATGTTAGTGTATAATCATTTAAATGATTAATTGATGAGCCTGGCTTACTGGTTAGTCCAAACAACTACATGTACATGCACACACCCTTGCTGCCTCTGTGTCAGACACACAGAGGTGGGAGCCAGTGCTTGTGAGGAAACGGCTTTGAAGCTGGCTTCCCACACATGCTGGCTTCTTCCCCCTGCCGCTCCCCTCCCTTCCCAATCCTGCCACTGCCTACCACCGAGGCAGCAGTGCGGTGGGTAGAAGGGCAGCAGGCGGGAGCTGATGCTCAAGAGAACCGGCTGAAAAGCTGGCTCCCCACGAGCACTAGATCCTGCAGCACTGCCTGCCCTCCCCCAACACTAAGCTGCTGCCTCTTAAGAGTCCCTGGCGGGGGAAAGGATGGGTCCTGGGCTCATATTGGTAGCCTTTCAACCACAACCTCCCCTGAACTGTTTTGCTTACTGGCATGGAGAACTCACTGGAGGCCCTGGTACTGAGAGCTCCATTCCCATACAGACAACCACTCAGGCATGCTCAGACCAATCTCTTTCAGATGTCTGTTTCATACTTTTTCACTTGACAAGGCTGTTGGGTGTTTGTGACTTGGCATTGCCAGAGGTTCAGAGTTGACCAATGTCCTTTAAAAATAGTGGACTCTGCACTTTATGTTCATGAAGAAGAGGTGTGTGCAGGCCCTCACAAGTTGGGGGACTCCTGGCATTAGTGAGGATAGCTACAATGCAGTCATGGAACCATCACAGAGCTAGTCAAGGCCCTTAGACGGGTACCCTCCTCCTTGGACCTCACAGGAAAACGAGATGAACAGAGGTGCTTTGTCCCCAGTAAGGAGTATGAACATTTTGTCTCATTCCCACTCAATGTTCCCCACTTATGGAGGTAGCTGCCAATGAGTAGGATGAACAGGGACAACATGCCAAAAGGCAAAGCCTCAAAGACGCTGAATCTGATTACAGATGTTGTTCTTCATGAAGTCTGCAACTCAGGATTGCAAACCAGCATGCTCTCCTGAGTGAACATGGGTTCGCCCTCTGGGAGATAATTACGAAAATTAAAGACAAGAGGATTGTAGGCAACATTTCTAGTAATAGCTCAAGAGAATAAACTGGTTGCCAGGACTGCCTTGCATATACTTAGGGATTGCGTATACTTAGCTGCTCAAACTCTGGTTGTGGTTGCAATTGTTTGAGCTGCCTCTAGAAGTCCAACAGACTATTCTGTCTTTCCAGAGAAAATGGATTCACTGAGGCTCCTAGTAAATCAACATCTTCCGATGAGGTCAGATAGTACCATGTAACTAGGTAGTTCAGCATTCCAGATTATACCTCAGAGAGATGTAGACATGGCCAGCATGAGTGTTTGCTCCAGCTTGCCACCATTTAGTGAATCTCTTCTATGTGCTTTTTCTCTGATTTCTTTCCTTCCCAGAGGCCTCTTATAGTGAAACAAAGCCATGCTCACCTCATCCTCATAGAGACAATGGATTTCAGGAAAGCAGACTTTAGTAAACTCAGAGAGCTGGAAGGTGAAGTCCCATGGGAAACAAGACTAAGAGGAAAACAGCTGAAGAGAGTTGGCAGTTTTTTAAAGGGACATTAGTAAGGGCCCAAAAGCAAACTATGTCACTGCGTAGGAAAGATAGAAGGTATGGTAAGAGACCACCTTGGCTTTACCAGGAGATTTTACATGATCTAAAAATAAAAAAGGAGTCATATAAAAAGTGGAAACTAGGTCAAATTAGAAAAGATGAACAAATAATGCCAGTATGCAGAGGCAAGTTTAAAAAGGCAAAAGCACAAAACGAGCTCAATCTAGCTAGAGACATTAAGGCTAACAAGATGATGTTCTACAAGTATATTAGGAGCAAGAGAAAGACCAAGGACAGGGTAACAGTGAGGACAGAGAAACAATAACAGGAAACTTGGAAATGGCAGAAGTGTTTAATGACTTCTTTGTTTTGGTTTTCGTCAAGAAGATGGATGGTGATGAGATGCCTTACATAGTAAATGCTAGTGGTCATGGGGCAGGTTTAGAAATTAAAAGAAAAGAAGAACAAGTTACAAAAATTACCTGGAAAAGTTAGATGTCTTCAATTCACTAGGGCCTGATGAAATGCATTTCAGAATACTCAAGGAGCTGATAATTCCAGAAGACTGGAAAAGGGAAAATCTAGTGCCCATCTATAAAAAGAGAAATAAGAACAACCCAGGAAACTACAGACCAGTTAGTTTAACTTCTGTGCCACTAAAGATGATAGAGCAGCCAATTAAGAAATTAATCTGTAAATATCTGGAAGAAAATCAGGTGATAGGAAACAGCCAGCATGGATTTGTAAAGAACCAATTGTGTCAAACCAATCTGATAGCTTTCTTTGATAGGATAACAAGTCTTATGGATAAGGGAGAAGCGGTGGATGTGGTATACCTAGACTTTAGTAAGGCATTTGATACAGTGTCACATGACCTTATCAATAAACTAGGGAAATAAATCTAGATGGGGCTACTATAAGATGGGTGCATAACTAATTGGATAACCATTATCAGGCCACATCTACACCACAGAGGTGGGTTTTTTTAAAGCCATTTTTCTGAAAAACCCTTCACTAACATACACACTGAAATCGTGTTTAGAAAAAAAAATTGAAAGAATGGAGGGTTTTTTTTTCCGATGTTGCTAAATCTCTTTCTATGAGGAAGTAGCCTTTTTCCGAAAGAGCTCTTTCACAAAAAGGTGTGTGCGCACGGGGAAGAGGGAGTTCTTTTGCAAGAAGAGGAAAGAGGAAAAAGCACAGGTGCCCTGGTGGCCATTCTGTCCATAGTAATCACAGCTTAAATGTGCGATAGCATCCACACTGAATGAATGCCATCTTTTGAAAAGCAGATCCCTTTTTGGATACGCTTTGGCAGTATGGACACTCTCTTTTGGAATAAGTTTTTTCAGAAGATCTCTTCCGGAAAAGCTTCTTCCGAAAGAAGCCTGCAGTCTAGATGTAGCCTCAGAGAGTAGTTATTAATCATGATGGAAGGGGATAACAAATGGGATTCTGTAGGGGTCCTTTGTGGGACTGGTTCTGTTCAATATCTTCATCAATGATTTAGATGATGGCATAGAGAGTACTGTTATTAAGTTTGCAGATGATACCAAGTTGGGAGGGGTTGCAAGTGCTTTGGAGGATAGGATTATGATTCAAAATGATCTGGACAAACTAGATAAGTGGTCAAAGGTAAATAGGATGAAGTTTAATAAGGACAAATGCAAAGTGCTCCACTTAGGAAGAAACAATCCATTTCACACACACAAAATTGGAAGTGACTGTCTAGGGAGGAGTACTGCAGAAAAGGATCTAGGCGTCATAGGGGACACAAGGAAACGTACAACACCTCTTGTTGAACAGCAGTTTACAAAAGATAAGGTAAATGGTTTTCAGTATAATTTTTGTTACATGTTTACCTATATACATGTTTTCTTCTGGCCTATGCATTTTATTAGTTATATTGTTGAATATTAAAATTAAGTCATAGTAGTTTATTTCTTCTAGCAGAGTCTTTGGAGTTAGTAACAAAAAATTATCTCCACTCATCTTCTCAGTGTTCGTATTTTCTGATCTTATGGTGGATGATCAGTCCGGGTATCCCAGAGAATTCAGAGAGAAATATATCATGTCAAAGACTTTGGGAAGGTAAGAACCATACTTATAATATATGTAGGGATTATTTTCCTTTAGTTGGGTGTGGATGATGTTTGACCTATAACTAGTATAAACTACGTGCTGCTATTTTAGTACTGTTTCAATAATACCACCCTAGGCACTATGGTACTGCAAACAACAAACATGGTGCTTTACAGACTAGTAAAAAATGAAGGGCTCAGATTTTTTTCATTCTGTTCCTGCTACTTTTTGCCTCTTATGTGGAATCTAGCCTTAATTGGACAGCTGAGAATTGTCTTGGGGTATGGCCTGGCATAAATCATGGTACCTCTCTCCTTTGCCCGTAGCTCCACCACAGCCTGGCAATATGGATAGAAATTAGGTGGCGCATACTTGAATTATGTCAATTCATAACTTTCTTTTCCTTGAGAGAAGATCATAGCCTGTTAACATGGCCTCTAAGATGCTGTAACTTAGATCAGTAGATCAAGTGTGAGACTTGTGCAGGAGACATGCTATTTGTTTTAAACCTGGATGTTAATACAGTTATACAGAGAATCAGACTGTGATCACAATAATCTCTCTGACTTGTTAATTAATTCATGCTGTGAGAATCAGAGGGGTGTAATTTGTTCCCTAATGCACTCAGCTATGGAGGAGGGAATCTGGATGTGCGCTTGCGTTCCACAGTGCTTACTTTAAGATCTGTGTATGAGGGAAATGGGGAAACACTGGCTTTATATATTTGTGTGGAGATACTGAAGACAAGTGGTCTCAGTAAGATAATACAGTTACTGAGGTGATTTTGGTTTTTTTAATCTTTCCTTCATTGTAGTTTTGTTCCGCTCTACAGGGAGCGCTTATGCATGCATATAAAGCTGTTAGAAAGAGGAGGTGGGATTTGATGGCCTTGTTGAAGTTTGTTTTGTGGAGATTACTGGAAAATCTTTTAACATCAGGGATGGCTAGTAGTTTATTTTCTGTAGCATTTTCCCTCATAGAATTTTTAAGATGTTGATAGGACAAATTAATATTTTGCTGCAGAGAATTCTTACTCCTTCATGCAAAGTTCTCTTTTCAGTTGCTTATCTTGCAAATGGTTAGTTACTGCTTATTTGAAATGTTACACCTGAAAGTAAGTTCCTGCTTATGAAACCTGTCTGTAAATTAAGTCTTCTGTTTGGAATGTCCTAGGGTAAAACACAGTATTATATATCTTTGTTATAGCAGGCAAACTGCATTGGCAGTAAATCTTAAATTTAGTAGATTTGTTTTTCATTCCTATTCTATATGGCTTTGACATCTCTTATTCCACTGCTGGGCCATTAGAGGATAGGCCCTTATTTCTTAAACTTTGTTCTGAGGAACACTGGTGTTCCGTGGAGAACTCACAGGTATGCCATGACGGTTTGAGGAAAAATAACAGCCACTAGAGCTGCTGAGACGCAGTGGGTGGAGTGAAGGGTGGATGAGGTGAGCGAATGGTGATGCAGTGGTGACACGGCTGGAAATGAGGCAGGGCTACCCGCGTTCCTTCTTAAGTGCTTCTATGCAAAGGGTGGAAGAGGTGAGCGAGTGATGATACAGCAGGAAATGATGCTGGGCTACCCGCGTTCCTCCTCATGTGCTTCTGTGCCCAGCTTGCAGTCACCTGGGAAAGATCCATGCCTCGGTTGCGCTCCTTGCCAGAGGGGAGGAGTGTTGCAGGGCCACCTCTGATTGGCTGTGTCTGCTGCTAGTCTGGGGATCCTGCCTGCTAGGGGAGAGAACTGCCCTACAGCTGCCACCCCAACTGGGTCTTTGCACCACTTCCTTTAGACCTCACTTGTTAGGCAAGACAGCTGGGGAGGGGGCAGATACAATTTTCCTTCTTTGTTGGACAACCCTTTTTTCGTTTAATGGATTGATAGGTGATTGATAGGTTATGTTTGGGATTCTTAGATTAAAAAAGATGTTCCACTTTTCAAAAGATAATTAAAAAGATACTTAAATTATCATTGTGCAGTGAGAGAATATTGTCGTTGTCAATAAAAGTGTCGTCTGATGTGTGTGTGTGTTTTGTTGGTTTTTTGCTCGACTAAAAATTCTTGGTGTTCCTCAAAAAAAAAATTGTTTGGTGTTCCTCGGTCTTAAAAAGTTTAAGAAACACTGGTATAGGCTCTTTGGATTGCTGGGATTATAAACTTCCCGTTTGCTCGGTTTCAACTCTGAATGATAAAAATGGTTAAAACTGGTATTCTGAATTATGATACACAGGTAGACCTATTTTCCTTACAACATCCAGGTTTGGGCTTTTTGCTGCTAATTGAGTTGGGTTTAAAACATACTTTTAATTGTGAAACTCAATTTATGATTGGGGTACTTATAGCTTAGAAATAGAAAGTCAGGTTTGAAATAGTTTGCTGTCGGTCCTATTACTTTCTGAATCAATATCTCTCCTCTACCCCATGATTGGAAATAGGGGGAAGAACTGAAGGTCAGAATATTACCTTGTGGGACATGAAGTGAAAGAGAGAGAAATGGAGACCCAAAATTTTTATATAAAATTTCTTTAAAGTTAAAATTTCCCCCAAAGTCTTTGCATGTCATAAAAAAGTAGCAGAGTGAGTGGACTTGTATGGATTTGTATGGATTTCCTCTTAAATCTCGTAATGTTTAAAAACAAATTTGCTGCTATATATATTGCGCAGTCGTACAACCTTATGGCATGCGACTTTATGCGACTGGGCTATATTAACAGAGACTGATGGATTTTGTAAGCTCAGTTAAAATAATTGCGTGTTAAATCTTGGAAGTTTGTTCTGTTTTTAGCTATTTGTGCATTTTCTCAATAGCTTTCAGTTTGGAATTTTGTTTGTATTTCAATTTCTGTGTTAGAACATGGGTGACTACCAGCATCTATCCTAATCATGTGCCTAATACTGATGGGTCTTACATACTGTACACAAGCCTGCTGTATTCAAAGGTTTAGGAGACAGCAGTATTCTCATTACATATACTGTTTCAAGAAGCAAACACCTTCTGTTTTATCTGTTTTTATTTGTTACCTGCATATTGAAAAATGCTTGCAAAGTTTTAATATAACTAAATTTTTATATTAGTGGCGCCTGTGGAGAGGTTAAATTGGCATTTGAGAGGACCACATGTAACAAAGTTGCCGTAAAGATAATCAATAAACGGAGATTTATAGCAAGCGCTGTGAGAGAGACAGTAAGTATCTGTTTTTTGGCCATCTTGCAGTGGCTGTAATGTATTTGGTAATACTTTGTGAACATCTACTGTGTATGCAGAAGAGAAGAGTGAGGGGGATTTAATAGCAGCCTTCAGCTTCTTGAAGAGAGATTCTAAAGAGGATGGAGAGAGGCTGTTCTCAGTAGTGACAGATGGCAGAACAAGGAACAATGGTCTCAAGTTACCCAACCTACACTCCCCACTGTATTAGAAAAAATTATATCACTAGGAGGGTGGTGAAGTACTGGAATGGGTTACCTAAGGAGGTGGTGGAATCTCCATCCCTAGAGGTTTTTAAGTCTTCACTTGACAAAGCCCTGGCCGGGTTGATTTAGTTGGGATTGGTCCTGCCTAGAGCAGGGGGCTGGACTTGATGACCTCCTGAGGTCTCTTCCTGCTCTATGATTCTATGAGAATTTCTGTTCAACAGCTCCTAAACTGTAAGAGTTAGGGCCATCAGATTTCCTCTTACCATAACTTAAAGCATGGAAAGGATTTAATTGTGCCAGAAAAATGGGATGTGCCTGGAATGGGATTACTTCTCATAAAATCACATAGAAAGGAGACGATCACAAGGCAGGTAAAAGGGGTTGCTGGGGGTGCCCCATTCTTGAGCCTCTCTTCCCCCCCGTGTGCAATGAGGGGAAAGTGCACAGTTTGCTGCATTCCTCATTCTGATTAGAGAATTCAGGAGCAGATGAGCCTGGACCTGCCGCAGCTGGGGGACATACACCCTTCTCTCAGCTGTGCTCACTGGAGCTGCAGCAGCCTTGGAGAGGCGCTTCTCACCTGGACCCAAGGTGCTGCAGTGAGAGAGGCCTGGGGTAATCCTCACCCCGGGGCAGTCTGCATCCTTAATCCTTTATCCTCAGCCCCATTTTCAGGCAATGATTTCAGTGAAGTGTGTATATTTTCATTTTATTATCCAAAAAACAGAAATTGAGTTAAGAAGTCTGCCGGGTAAATCTAATTGTAAATATTTGTTGCTATAATTTAAGGGTTTTTTTGGATTCATGTGTATGAAGCTTTGTGTATATTTAAACCACACCATTTGGAAGGAATTAATTGTATTAAACAATGAAGATTAGTTAATCGTCTGGTCCAAATTGTCTTTATGTTTATTATGGCAAGATGCAGACCCCTTTTGTTACTTCTTCTCTGAGATGGAAAGGTGTTTCACCTTTTGTTGGGACAGACTATAGTGAGTTTTTCCAAAAACAGCCTCAAATTAAATTAAATCTTGTTTAGACAATAAAGAAAAGCTTCCGTTAACTCCACAATGAATGTTATTTGAAATAAATGCATAGGTCGAAGACAGTCTCATACTAGTAGGCCCAAATCCTGCAAGTGTCAGAAGAGAGGGATTTTTAAAAAGACAAATCCCACTTCCAGAATTCTATGTCTGTACTTCCTTCCAGGCTAGTTTTTATCCTTCTCTCCCTGACACAATGCATCTCAGACTAGCCACATCTGTTGGTTTCCTTCCTGGCTTTGTTGATGTTACCAGGTGCTCCTTATCTTACTAGCCAAGAAGATCTTTGTATTTACATCTTGACGGTAAGATTTGTACAACTGTGCTAATCTGGAAACATTTTTCTGCTACGAGAGTAACCAGTTAGCTCCCACTTTTCCTGAAACACCATCTACCTTCCCTCTCTGCCCCTCATGTTACTACATTTGCTTCTCTGATTTTAATCTCCCCCCCTCCCCCGCATAGCACTTCAAAGGCTTCTTTGATTGTATTGCATTTATAGTTAGGACCTTGTGCAGATACAAAATTTGTTTCCGCGTCTGTATCTGCAAAAATGAATTGTGGTCTCGGTATCCACATCCATGGATTTGCAGGGCTCTGTTTATAGTTTTGCTTTCCTTTATATACGTGTTGGTAAGTTTCCTGTTAAGGGCTTCTTAGTTATGGGTTACATAGCAAGAACTCCTTGGACTACATCTCTGATGTATCAGGGATGAGATCATGTTGCAGAGAAAAGATGTAGTCTCCCAAAGGGAGGCCAGTCCTGCAGAAAATGGGAGATTGAGGAACCCCAACTGTAACTCCCAGGAGGTTCCATGGCAGCATTGCAGATAAAATTTGTTTTTGTTTTGGCCTAACAGGTTAGACTCTTGTTTTTTATCAAATACCTCAACCATTTCCCAGGGAAGATTTCAAGTTAAATTCTTTTTTTCCATGTTTGTTGAAACTTTCAGCAAGAGAATTTTTCCCTGATGAGCTCTGCTATTTATGTTGTAGCCATCATTAAAGAAAGATGGAACAAATGTATGTTGTGTTTCCATAGATACATGGAGGCAATAGTCCCTGTATAAACATTATTATTGCTTGCTCTGTCTGACACTTCAGTTTTCTTTTAAATAGGATCCAGCTTTTAATGTCAATACAGAAATTGAGATTTTGAAGAAAATAGATCATGTGAGTATAATCTTAAATCTGATTTATTTTTTAAATTTGTATTCTGGTTTTCTCATTTGCTCTCCTTCTTTTGGAATTACTATAGTCTTTTAACTAATGCAATTATATTGAAATTGAGTAAATTTAATTTAAAAATTTAAGCCCTAGCCTTTTGGCAGTTTTAGTAGATTTCTGTTTTTTTAATCCCCTTTTTTGCTGTTTGTAAGTGCCGCACAAAACAAGGAATCAAGTACAGTGGAAAAGGTACAATTGACTAAATAGAATGCTTTAGGAGAGCTGTCTGTAAGCTCTTCATAGGAATAACAATAGGGTGTCAGAATATGATTGAGGTTCATCAAGAGAAATGTTTTTTGGGGGAAAACTTCCATAGCATGTCTGCGCTAAGCAGAACACCCGTTGCATTAATTTTACTATAATTAAAAAAACACCTGGAAATGAATTTTATATTAAAGAGAAACCAGTATTAGCATAGTCTCCTTCCAAGTATACTTTGGATTCTGAAATTATGTTCTTGGATAATATTTTCTTGTAATACAAGTTTTCATAAAATGATTCTGCTGTCTCTCTCCTCTTTGCTAGCCCTGCTTAATCAAGATAAAGAACTTCTTTGAGGCAGAAGATTATTATATTGTTTTGGAATTGTAAGTAATTTGCATTCAGTTTGTTCCAGAATAAATGTTTTACTGCCATAAATAAAAGAATATCATGGAAATTTTAATAACTTGACTCCTACTTGATGAGTGCAGATGCTATCCAAAACATAGGTAAAATGGGGGTTAGGGTAGGCAGGAAAGTCATTCTTCTGAAGCTGGGGTGACACTCCACCTCTGAAGGATTGTCTGTCTTGTCATCCTGGTAAATTGCAGCTGCTGTGGTGGATCACATAAGTGGAGAGCAATGCTCCCTCTAATTTTTACCTCCCTGAGTGGAATGGATTTTGCTATGTGCACCAATATAGGGGTGATATACAACACATCTCCTTCATATTTGAGGTGGGAGAGGGGTCAAAAAGTTCTGAGTGTGGGAGGGGTCTCAGGGCTGGGACAGAGGAATGGTGTGTGAAGTATGAGGACTCTGGCTGAAGGGCAGGTGCTCCGTTCATGACATCCTTGCCCCCAGCTTAGCCTGGACTTGCTTAGGCTGGGGGACAGGTGCTCGCTAAAGCTGCAGCAACTGTGGAGAGGTGCCCCTCCCATGGCCCCAAGAGGCTGTGGTGAGAGAGAGCTGGAGTAGACCTCTCTCCCTACGGAAGTCTCCATACTGAACCCCTCATCCCTGGCCCTACCCAGGAACCCATATCCCCAGCCAGAGCCCTCATCCCACACCCCAGCCCCTCCAGCCCTGAGTCCCTCAACTCCAGCCCCACTCTAGAGCTTGCACCCTTAGGCAGAATCTTCACAATCCTGCATCCCTATCCTTTGCCCCAGCCCTGAGCCCCTTCCCACACTCAGAGCCTCCACTCCCACCACATGAATTTTGTTATGTGCACCAATGTGAAGGTGATAGTGGCTTCCCTCCTGGCCCCAGCTCTGGGCTGGCAGGGAGCAGTGGTGCTCTGTACAGGTGTTCTGAGCCCCTACATGGAGCTTGTTAGACGGCTGCACAGCTTAATTGGAACCTGGGTGGAGAGTCTCAAAGAACACAGGCCTGGACCATGGAGCGCTTTAATGTTCAAGGTCTGCTTCTTAACCTGGATCTGGAATGTGGTGTGGAGTCAGAGGGGTAAGTGGGTGATATGATGATGAGCCAGTTGCAGCTTCTGCATGGCCTTAACTGTTAGTCCTGGATAATACAGTCTGAAGGTGATGGGGGCTCATATTACTGTAGCTACAGGTTTGTGTAATAGGAAGGGTGAAGTCTGTTGGCTGCCCAGAGAGGATAGACGGTATTTCTTGTGATTGTTGAATACAGAGGAGTGATAAATACAGTAAGATTCCAAGGCTTTGTGCTACATTGATAAGCAACAGCCAGATGGTCTTCTAGAAGCTGAACTTCCTTGGAATAGTGTTTCTGCATTCCTGTTAACATCACCTAGGTCTTTCCTGGGTTTAGTTCTAGCCAGCTCTAGACCAATTTCTTTTTACTTTGCATGTCGCGCATAAGAATTTATAAACATGCACCCAATGGATGCATTTCAGAAAATGAATATACTTCACTTTTCATTGGTGTCTTTTTCTTTAGAAAAGCCTTTCTGTCTCAGGCTTTCTAGTGAGTCTAACTTCTGAAAGAAGTTTATTGAATGCCCTTCTGTACTTCTGTTTCAGGATGGAAGGAGGAGAGTTATATGACAGAGTGTCAAGATCAGCCAAGATGAAAGAAGCTACCTGCAAGCTGTATTTTTATCAGATGCTGTTGGCTGTAAAGGTAGATAGTTTTGAATGTGTACGAAGTAAAATATGGTTGTTGCAACTCTGTCTGTGCCATCATTGTAGCTTCTATCACTTGTGCTTGCATGTGTTTTTACAGCACAAAATGAACTCTTCTCCTTATTCATAGTAGAGATTTAAGCCACTGTTCCTTTAGCTGTTAGGCCAATCAACTGGAAAGGTTCTATTGTTTTCCAGAAAAAGAATAAATACTTCAGAGCTTGCAAGAGACTCTGGAGGTAGGAAAAGATTCTTACCTATCATTGTTTTAGTCTCCTGTTTCAAAATTCTATTCGGAGTGTTTCCGTTGAGCCCTGAATGGAAGATATCAAACAAGAAAGAGAAATGTTACAAGCTGCCTTATTCTTAAATTTAAATCAATGCAAAGGTATCTTTTGAGAAGTGAATTCATTTGCTCCCCTTTGTTCCCAATCTGCGTGTCAAGATTTTGATCAGCTGAAGTTAGAGGGAGAAGCTGAAATATTTCATTGCGTCTAAGGAGTTCTCACATGAAAATTTGAGTTATTGGTTAGTGTAGTGTTTGACTTACTGGTGCGTTTTTACCTCAGCTGAGCAGAGGGGCCATGAAATGATTTAAAAAACATCAGGGATTAAAGTAACAACACATTAATGCTGTTGAAAGCTAATAAAACATTTAACAGGTATGCAGGATAAAAGAGGCATCAGTACAATATTATTTTAGGTAACAGCCAAAATCCAAGATGAGATACTTTACTAGGAACTTTAAATATAAATGTCAATACATCAGAGGGCATGTTATAGTTCACTTAATATTGCAAATGCTGAATACTTAGGTCTTAACTATAATGTATAATAAACTTTCTTCATTATGTTCATGAAATAGTAACTATGTTGCATGAACATCTCCTGAAAAATTATCTTTCCATAACTTTTCCTTCATCAGCATCTACTTTGTTCTTCAAAAGCGACGAAGAGTCCTGTGGCACCTTATAGACTAACTGAAGTGTAGGAGCATAAGCTTTCGTGGGCAAAGACCCACTTCGTCAGATGCATGTAGTGGAAATTTCCAGAGGCAGGAATAAATATGCAGGCCAGGATCAGGCTGGAGATGACCAGGTGGATCCAATCAAGGAGGATGAGGCCCACTTCTAGCAGCTGATCTGGAGGTGTGAATTCCAAGAGAATAGAAGCTGCTTTTGTAGTTAGCAAGCCATTCACAGTCTTTGTTTAATCCAGAGTTGATTGTGTCAAACTTAAAGATGAACTGTAGCTCAGCAGTTTCTCTTTGAAGTCTGGTCCTGAAGTTTTTTTGCTGCAGGATAGCTACTTTTAGATCTGCAATTGTGTGTCCAGGAAGATTGAAGTGTTCCCCTACAGGTTTTTGTATGTTGCCATTCCTAATATCAGATTTGTGTCCATTGATTCTTTTACGTAGGGACTGTCCTGTTTGGCCGATGTATATAGCAGTGGGGCATTGTTGGCACATGATGGCATATATTACGTTGGTGGATGTGCAGGAGAATGTACCAGTGACAGTATGGCTGATCTGGTTAGGTCCTGTGATGGTGTTGCTGGTGTATATATGTGGGCAGAGTTGGCACCGAGGTTTGTTGCAAGGATTGGTTCCTGAGTTCGAGTTATTATGGTGCGGTGTGTAGTTGCTGGTGAGAATATGCTTCAGGTTGGCGGGTTGTCTGTGGGCAAGGACCGGCCTACCTCCCAAGGCCTGTGAGAGCGAGGGATCATTGTCCAGGATGGGCTGAAGATCACTAATGATGCGTTGGAGAGGTTTTAGCTGGGGACTATAGGTGATGGCCAGTGGTGTTCTGTTGGTTTCTTTCTTGGGCTTGTCCCGTAGCAGGAGGCTTCTGGGTACACGTCTGGCTCTGTCAATCTGTCTCCTCACTTCCTCGTGTGGGTATCGCAGTTTACAGAATGCTTGTTGAAGGTCTTGTAGGTGTAGGTCTCTGTCTGAGGGGTTGGAGCATATGCGGTTGTACCTCAGTGCTTGGCTGTAAACAATGGATCGTGTGGTGTGTCCGGGATGGAAACTGGAGGCATGCAGGTAAGTATAGCGGTCGGTAGGTTTTCTGTATAGGGTGGTATTGATATGACCGTCACTTATTTGTATCGTGGTGTCCAGGAAATGGACCTCCCGTGTAGATTGGTCCATGCTGAGGTTGATGGTGGGGTGGAAGCTGTTGAAATCATGGTGAAATTCTTCCAGAGTCTCCTTCCCATGGGTCCAGATGATGAAGATGTCATCGATGTAGCGTAGGTAGAGAAGGGGTGTAAGTGGACGAGAGCTGAGGAAGCGTTGTTCCAGGTCAGCCATAAAAATGTTGGCGTATTGTGGGGCCATGCGGGTGCCCATAGCAGTGCCACTGGTCTGGAGGTATATGTTGTCACCAAATCTGAAATAGTTGTGTGTGAGGATAAATTCACAGAGTTCAGCCACCAGTTGTGCTGTGGCATCATCAGGAATACTGTTCCTGACAGCTTGTACTCCATCTGCATGTGGGATGTTTGTGTAGAGAGCCTCTACATCCATGGTGGCTAGGATGGTGTTTTCTGGAAGATCACCTATGCATTGTAGTTTTCTCAGGAAATCCGTAGTGTCACGAAGGTAACTGGGAGTGCTGGTGGCGTAGGGTCTGAGCAGAGAGTCCACATAGCCAGACAGTCCTTCAGTAAGAGTGCCAATGCCCGAGATGATGGGGCGTCCGGGATTTCCAGGTTTGTGGATCTTGGGTAATAGATAGAACAACCCTGGTCGGGGCTCTAAAGGTGTGTCGATTTGTTCCTGTGTTTGTTTGGGGAGTGTCCTGAGCAGATGGTGCAGTTTCTTAGTATATTCCTTAGTGGGATCTGAGGAAAGTGGCCTGTAGAATTTGGTATTGGAGAGTTGTCTGGCAGCCTCCTTTAGGTAGTCAGGCCTGTTCATGATGACAACAGCACCTCCTTTGTCAGCCTCTTTGATTATAATGTCAGAGTTGTTCCGGAGGCTGTGGATGGCATTGCGTTCTGCACGACTGAGGTTACCAGGCAAGCGATGCTGTTTTTCCACAATTTCTGCCTGTGCACGTCGGCGGAAGCATTCTATGTAGAGGTCCAGACTGCCATTTCGGCCCTCAGGAGGAGTCCATGTGGAGTTCTTCTTCTTGTGCTGTTGGTGGGAAGGTATCTGTGTGTCAGTGCACTGTTCAGTGTCGTGTTGGAAGTATTCCTTGAGACGGAGACGGCGAAAGTAGGCTTCCAGATCACCGCAGAACTGTATCATGTTAGTGGGGGTGGCGGGGCAAAAAGAGAGTCCCCGAGATAGAACAGATTCTTCTGCCGAGCTGAGTGTGTAGTTGGAGAGATTGACGATATTGCTGGGTGAGTTAGGGGTACCATTGTTGTGGCCCCATGTGGCAGGTAGGATTTATAGATCGACTTTCCATATTTTTTTATCTTGCTTCAATTTTGTATTTCTAGCGATCAAAAATTGTATTGCATATGCTTTTCAGTCTCTCTCCCTCTGCCTCTCTCTCTTCCTCCAGTCGATGTGACTAGCCAGATTGATCGCAGAAAGGAGCTGGGCTCTGTCAGTCGCGATCCAATGCTCCTGGACTTGGTGGCAAGATGAACCCAAAGTCCCATAGCAAAACACCCTGTTTTTATAGTCCTTTTTCTCTGTGGAAGTCTATGGATTTCTCTGTGTCAGTGTTTGACCAGTTAGTCCGGATCTGCAAAACCTTAATTGGTGTTATCTTTTGATGTTATCATTCCAAAATGCCTCTGAGATGGTCATATTGTCCTGGATTGAGTTAGTTAATTGTCTTTATGGGTCTCAGCCTTCATCTTAGAGTTGTCAATCTGCCCCTTCTTAATCATGGATACGCATTGATGGTTCTCTGGCATCCTGGAATCTCTTCGCCCCCTCCTCTCTTGACCATCTGGTTTTAACAACAGCCTTCACACCTTATCTTTTCCTGATGTATTCATTCCTCAGTCACACAAATAATCTTTTACAGAGACCTTCAAAGGTACAAACAGCAGTGTTTTATATTGATCAATTAAAAAAAAATCATTGTAAATTAAACCTTACTAAATCTTGTAATCAGAACAGTTCACATTGTGGCCTGGGCCTCCAACATTCCTCTAATCTTATTAACATAGACACAATACAAGATCCTGTCTTTTACTTACTAAACCTTGAAACAGGAAATGTATATTTAAGTAAAGGGTTTGGCAGGATGAAATTAAGTCATATATTACTACATTATTAAACCTGAAATATAAATATAAAATTCTACTCCTACACCTTTTCCAGCACTTTCAGTGGGGTGCTTTCCTGGCCTTGAAGGAAGCTCATTGCAGAGAGCTTCCTCATCCCTCTGAGGGCACTGCTCATACAATATGATCCCAGCCGCCCTCCCCTCTACACTGCACAGCTGCTTCTCCGGCTAGATCGTCATGGAGCGATGGGACGACTAGCAGTGGATCCAGAATTTCCGCCTGCAGAAGGAAACCTTTCTGGAGCTGTGTGGGTGGCTCGCCCCCAACCTCCGGAGACACGACACCCACATGAGATCTACCAACTCTTTACAGAAGTAGGTCGCCCATTGCCATCTGAAAGCTCGCCATGCTGGACAACTATTGATCCATGGGAAACCAATTCAAAGTGGGGAGATTGACCGTCGGGGCCGTGCTCATGCAGGTCTTGTGCTATTGTCCCAGCAGGGTGGGGAACTTCTGGAATGCGGTTCCCCAAGGAAGGGTGGTGGTGGTAGAAACCCCCTCCCTAGGAGATTTTTCAGACCTGCCTTCACACAGCCCTGCCAGGGGGATGGGCTGTATAGAGGGTTGCTCCTGGTGTGTATGGGGGTGGAGGGTGCTCTGGCACCTCAATGATTCTTTGTTTGTCTCTTTCTACAAATGGTGCAGGCCATCAATACCGTCCTGCCCAGCAGGGTCATCCACCCCGGCATCGCTGGCATTGCCTCTATGGGCTTCCCCAACTGCAAGGAGGCTAATGATGGCACCCACATCCCCATCCTGGCCCCCAACCACCAGGCATCCAAATACATTCACCGCAAGGGATACTTTTTGATGGTCCCACAACTCCTGGTCAACCACCGTGGGCAGTTCATGGACATCTACGTCGGGTGGTCAGGAAAGGATCACGATGCATATGTCTCCTGAAAGTCCAGCCTCTTCAGAAGCTGCACACTGACACCATTTTTCCCCCGACCATACCATCAGGGTCTGGGACATGGACATGCCAATCTGTATTATGGGGGACTCAGCCTACCCTCTGTTCCCCTGACTCATGAAGCCCTACACTGGACACCTGGACGAAAGCAAGGGGTGCTTCAATGCCACACTCAGCAGGGCCCACATTGTGGTGAAGGGTGCCTTCAAATGTTTGAAGGGGAGATTCTGCTGCCTCCTCAGCCGCTTGGATATCAGGGAGCGGAACATCCCCTAAGCAGTGGCAGTGTGGAGATGTTCCTCCGATGGTGGGGGGGAGGGCGGAGGTTGACCAGTTTGGCAGGACCTTTAAGCAGCTGCGCACAGCTGCCATCTGGCAGGCCCATCAGGACTGTGCATATCCATGAAGCCGTGAGGGAGAGTTTCACAAGAACGTAGTGATACTCTCTCCAAAGCATCTCCACATGGGGTCTGTGCATTGCCCTTCTTTGCCTTTCGTCCCACACCCCTCTTTTCCCATGCTCTCCCTTCCTCCCCTGCACAGACAATAAACTACACTTTTTATTTTTGAAAAATAAACTCTTTGGTTTTATTTGGGGTAAATGTAACGGGAGGGGCTGGGGAAAGAACCTTGAGGAGGAGGAGAGAGTTGTAAGGGGGAGGAAAGGGAGGAGAGGCTCAGGGCTGAGGCTGGGAGTGGCGTTTGCCTCAGGTGGTCCCACTGCCTCATGTGCAGGGGCCTTGGCATGGCTCACTGAGATTTAAACCGCTGCAGGAGTGGGCTCTATGCTGGCGATGACTGCTTGAAGTGCTGCGCAGATGGTGCATCCCTGTTCCTGCCAGGTCTCTCAGTGCAGCTGTAGGTCCTCTTCCAGTCTCGCCGGTTCATGGAATGCTACAGAACTTGCAGGGTGGCTACATGCTTCTTCTAGAGGTCCTCCTCTGGTCTCCAGTGCCAGTGGGTTATGCGGTGTCGGGAGGCTGGCACAGGAGGTGGTCTGGCTGTGTAGAACAAAGAGAAGGCCAGTCATCCCTGGAGACACTGTGTCTGAAGCCTGGTCCTCCTCTCTAAGCTGACACCGACAGACTTCGGGTCAGACAAAGACAATGTGCTTGGAGCAAGGTCATCTGTGGCCTAGGCAGGGGGCCCTTTCCTAATGGGGCACAGATTTCCAGGGGAAAGCCTCACTATCCCCATGGTCCAGAGACAAGCAGGCATGGGAAGGTGCCGTTCAGACTGGAATCCTGTAGGTGGGAAGGGGGCCATGTGGGGTGGCTAGGCTTCCCTCTGCCACATGCACACCAGGTCCAACAGTGACTGTCCCATAGGGAGAGGACATGTATCCCTGGCTGCTGGAGGAGAGGGGTGGCAGGATGTTGGGGGGAGGTGTGTGTGAGCAGCAGATGCTCCTGCACCTTACTGAGCTGTTTCTGGGAATTGATGCTGCCCTGAGAGAGCAGGTATGTCTGTGTGCTGCGTGACACTACTGAGAGAGAGTATTGGTATTGGGAGTCAGGCAGGCCTCTCCAGCCATCCTGTAAGCAAGTGCTTAAGGGTCCTCTCTTGAAGCCTCCTGGGGCTGTGCACCCTGGACTGGTGCTCCACATGCACACACTGTTGCGCAATCCCCAGGCCGAGAAGGCTGAACGAGAAGCACGCAGCTGCATCTCTCTATCCGCTGCCTCTGCCCGTGTGGGTATAGGAAAATTAATGGCACTCACCTGAGGGGCCTTCCCTGGCTTCAGATGTTACATGGGGGTGAGGGCTTACTGGATCCAGGGTGAGCATGATGTCCTGGCTGGCAGGCATGGAGCTGGTACTGGCCTTGTCCGGCTCCTCCTTCTCACTGTCTCTGCCCCCCGGGTGGGTGACGATGCATCCTTCCAGTCCTGAGTTCACTAGGGGCGGGGGGGCGGGGAGAGGGACTGAGCCCTGTATATTAAGGAAAGGTCTGAGGTGCCACCCTGGAGCGGGAGCTGCGTTCCCTAGTCTTGGCATAGGCTGCGTCTTGGCATAGGCTGCATCTTGCCTGTGCTCCTTAACTTTCATCCGCACTTGCTCCTGGGTGTGGGTGTGGCTCTTGGTGCTCATTTGGCCATAGACATGGGTGTTCCTGCATCTAGTGCAGAGATCCTCAAGGTTTTCCTCCTTGCTCCAAACCTCAATGAGGTCCAGGATCTCTGCACCAGACCAGGAAAGTGTGCTCCTCTTTCGTCCTGTGGCAGGGTCCTGGGAGCTGCCTGCAGCCATGAAGGGCTCAGATGGAGCATGGGGGTGGCTCATGTAATCTGGGACAGCTGTTTGGGCTGCTGTTCTGTGGCTCTGGAGTGTCAGGTCCTGCATTGTGCCACAAGCCCTTTCCCCTGCGGCTGTACCTTTAAAGCCTGCAGGGGAAGGAATACCAATGAGTTTTGCAATGTGTGGACTTAGTGGCCAGCAGGGCACCGGTGGGAAGGCCTGGCAGCCCTTTATTTTGAAATAACTCCAGCTGCGCTGTCTATACAGTGCCTATTCTGAAATAGCTATTTTGGAATAGTCATTATTGTTTATAGAATGAGGGTTACAGACTGAAATAAACCACCAGTTATTTCAAAATTATTTTGAAATTACAGGCTTCTTATTTCAAAATAATAACCCCTGCTTCTGATGAGGAATAATGCCTATTTCAAAATATGTGATTTCAAAATAATCTCATAGTGTAGACATAACCATAGGAACCAAACCCAGGGAAGAAATGCTTTGGTCTTTACAGGTAAATGACTGAATGGCCTTCCAGATTAGTTAATAATGATCAGTAGTTATTTTGAAATAATGCTGCTGTGTAGACATGCCCTGACTCTCAGCATCTCCCTCTCCCCTATAAACATTGTTATAACACATCAGGGTAATCATAGAATAATAGGACTGGAAGGGACCTCGAGAAGTCATCGAGTCCAGCCCCCTGCCCTCAAGGCAGGACCAAGCTCCGTCTACACCATCCCTGACAGATGTCTATCTAACCTGTTCTTAAATATCTCCAGAGAGGGAGATTCCACCACCTCCCTTGGCAATTTATTCCAATATTTGACCACCCTGACAGTTAGGAATTTTTTCCTAATGTCCAATCTAAACCTCCCCTGCTGCACTTTAAGCCCATTACTCCTTGTCCTGTCCTCAGAAACCAAGAGAAACAAATTTTCTCCTTCCTCCTTGTGACACCCTTTTAGATATTTGAAAACCACTATCATGTCCCCCCTTAATCTTCGTTTTTCCAAACTAAACAAGCCCAGTTCACGAAGCCTGGCTTCATAGGTCATGTTCTCTAAACCTTTAATCATTCTTGTCACTCTTCTCTGTACCCTTTCCAATTTCTCCACATCTTTCTTGAAATGTGGCGCCCAGAACTGGACACAGTACTCCAGCTGAGGCCTAACTAGTGCAGAATAGAGCGGCAGAATGACTTCACGAGTTTTGCTTACAACACACCTGTTAATACAACCTAGAATCATATTTGCTTTTTTGGCAACAGCATCACACTGTTGACTCATATTCAACTTGTGGTCCACTATGACCCCTAGATCCCTTTCCGCCATGCTCCTTCCTAGACAGTCGCTTCCCATCTTGTATGTATGGAACTGATTGTTCCTTCCTAAGTGGAGCACTCTGCATTTCTCCTTATTAAACCTCATCCTGTTTACCTCTGACCATTTCTCTAACTTGCTAAGGTCATTCTGAATTATGTCCCTATCCTCCAAAGAAGTTGCAACCCCACCCAGTTTGGTATCATCTGCAAACTTAATAAGAGTACTCTCTATCCCAATATCTACATCATTGATGAAGATATTGAACAGTACGGGTCCCAAAACAGACCCTTGAGGAACTCCACTTGTTATCCCTTTCCAGCAGGATTTAGAACCGTTAACAACAACTCTCTGACTACGGTTATCCAGCCAATTATGCACCCACCTTATCGTGGCCCTAGTGTCTGCCTTGGCAAATTGAGGCAGAGGAATGTACTTAAATTGAGAGATTGAGCACAGAAGAAGCTGTTAATATTAATAAAAGGAGAGGTGGAGAACCAAAATTCCATAGTGTGATCATGAAGAATCTGTTCTGATAGTGTGGCGTTGCTTTACAGTTCTACATAGTCCACCTATGGAGCTTGGCAGTTGCTGCACAGCAGCTTCTAAATATTTTAAATCACTTGGTGAACTCTAGGGCTTCAGATACACACATCTCAAATGAAAGAGTTTCAGTTCATTGTATTATGATTATTGGAAAGACCTGAAAGTTCACATTTTAACATTCGTACTGTTCTGTGTTTCTGTGTGCATAGTACCTTCATGAAAATGGTATTATACATCGGGATCTAAAGCCAGAGAATGTGCTACTTTCATCTGCTGAGGAAACTTGTCTTATAAAGGTGAGGAAGAAGCTTCTATCTCTGTATCTTATTTATTTTGATGTTCTTTATTCTGAAGCTTTGGAATGTTCTTCAGCAATTTTCTAAATTATTAAATTCCAACACACAAAAAATTACCATGGTATTAAGATTACTGTTGCTCGTTCCTAAATAGCAGAGTCTAAAACAGAGGAAATCTTGAGATAAGGTTTTTCCCCACAAACTTTAGATATCACTTCCCCTCTCATGCATATTTTAATCAATACATACTCGTAAGTATGAATAGGCAGTTAGTATTTCACATAGTAATTAGTAGAATTCGACTATACTTCATTTGCATGTGTCACTAGTTTTAATCATGGAGTCATGGCCAACATTTTTATAATTAACCACATTATTTAGTGCCAAGCTGTGGTTTTGCCTGAGAGACTAAATATTGAGGAGCTTTGGAAACTGAGCTCTGCATGTAATAGTCCTCTATGGTAGGCATGAATGCATAGTACTGATGCTTGTGCTATTCATTAAGCTGAGGATAAATAGAATACTTCAGACTGGCATTTAATCCAACACTCTTTGTTAGCACTTTCTGGCCAACCCCCACATTTGATTCTGCTATCCATCTGAGTTTTCTACCGAAGACTTCTGCTGGGTAGATTATAGGGCATAGTTGTATACTGCAAAAATGCCTTGGAAATTAGAGCTATAAATCTCTCTACTAGTACATGCCGACTAGTATAGTATATTCTAGTATCAGTCAGTTTTGATTTTATTTTAACCTGGTGTTATTTTCATATACAAGATTACAGATTTTGGACAATCTAAGATTCTTGGTGAATCCTCTCTTATGAGAACATTATGTGGTACTCCCACGTATCTTGCCCCTGAAGTTCTAAATTCGCTTGGGACAGCTGGGTATAGCCGTGCTGTGGATTGCTGGAGTTTAGGAGTTATTCTCTTCATTTGGTAAGAAATTACATGCTCAGTGGAACAGTCATACATGGGTGGAGGTCTTAGGCATTAATTTAATAGTTTGCTAATGAGTGTGCGTGCCATATTTTCAATCATGAAATAGATATTGTGAAATGCATATTCTCTACAATAGGCAGTCTTTCAACTGTGGCAAAAGTTGCATTATCCTTTATATTTTTTCTCTTATTTAGCCTTTGTGGATATCCACCATTTAATGAACAAAATACTCAGCTATCTTTGAAAGATCAAATTACCCGGGGAGAATATACATTTATTCCAAGAGAATGGATCCATGTGTCAGATATGGGTACGTTTGCTTTATAGTGGTTATGGAAGTATTTTGCTGACCCTCTAAAACAAGGCTATTCAACATGTGGCCCCAGCTGTGGCCCATTTGTTTGCGGCCCATGGGTAGGAGCCAACACAAAAAAGTAGTCAATGGTCTTCTGTTGATATGCATTTTCGTAGTTAAATTCCTGAACTGTCATTGTTCATTACAAGTGCTGTCATATGGGTGGAAATCAGGTAAATATTGCATTTTATTAATATCGGCAGAATTGACTTAAATGGGACCTGTGTATTGTGTAGTCTTGCCTTAATCTTTGTATTCATGCCCATCAGTGTGCAAGAAGCTATTTGCATATAATTGCATATGTATTTGCAACCACACTTAAGTTGAGACCCTTGGCATGTGCTGTGGGGATCATTGTAGCCCCTGCAGCTTCCAAAGTTGAGTAGCCCTGCTCTAAAATTTCTATTCTGCTTTCATTAATATTTTTGGGTACATCTGGATTTCAGCCAGGAGGTGTGTGAATCTCAACTGTCAGAGAGGCATCTGCACTAGCTCACTGTAGCATAGTGGAGGTAGCACTGGCATGGGTTTGGGCTTGTTGCCCAAGTATATACCCATGGATCTGCACTTGCTGCCCAGCTTGCCATGACTCTCCCAGTTATTTAGTATTTCCATTGGGCAGCTTTCACTAGCTGCTCTGGATAATCAGAGGAGTTTCTTATCAGTGTTGAGGTTATTCACTTTCTATTAGGCTTAAAAAGTGTAACCCCATTTTGAAAGGCCTGATGCTGAACAAAATAGTGCCAATGTCCAAGTAATAATAAGACAGTAGAAAAATAGATGTCATTATTTAAATGAGTGCAAGTTATACTAAGGGCATAAATAATCCTAGTCAATAGAACAGAATCACCAGGAATAGTGAAGAGCCACGATCCTGTTGTATATTAGGTGAGACTGCTCGTGGTGAGATATGACATAAGAATGGCCGTACTGGGTCA